ATCGACCGGCGACACACGCGCCGGCCTTCTGCAAATACAAACGCGCGCTCGCGCGTAACACACGCACCGATAGTTCCTGCATTGTGAGCTTATCTCCGCTACTCGTTTTTACGTTTTCTTATAACAGCAGATTGTGACCGAGATCTCAGATATACCGGGTGGAAACGGAAGTTTACTGCAACGTGACTCCGCGACCGCAAACGTATCGTCGTGTATAACGAGCTATTTTATCTGCATTTTGATACGAGAATAATATATTTAATTTATATTTATGTACAGTAAATTTTTTATGTATTTTTAATTTAAATTTTGCGGATAAAAATCTGCTTAAAAAAAATAGCGCTCAGAATATATAAATATTACAAATATATGTATAATGCGTTAAAAAATCTAATCCTCATTTCTTTTTGCTTAGAAAAGTATGTTTAGCGTAAAAAGGATTTCGGAAACATAATTTTTAAAGGCTACGTGGACACATTTTCAGAATATTTTTAGTGTATTTGCTTGAAGAATAAACGTAACACGGCAATTTTTCATTTTGGATCACTCTTTCTGAAACATCTTTATGCAAACGTATTTGAATCTAAACGCGCAGTATGTTACGTAGAATGACTATTCCTATCGCCGCAATTACGCAGTAATGTAACATTCAATATACATAGTTAGACGATTAACTCGCCGCTAATCGTAAGATTGTGCGCGCTAATTCCCGCATTGATAGCCGTTTATGTCTATCGTCGGCAGGTGCGGATATATTATAAGTCGATGAGAAAATATCACTTTCTATTAGAATTTATGCTGAAAGCGTATCGGTTCAATTTTTTCAAGATACCGAATTCTTTTCGCGATGTAAAATATATTTTTCTGTATTCACAGCATGCAAAGTTGAATAAATATGAATTCTGTACAAAGTTGTAAGGTAAGATTTTGTCCGCGGACAAGACCGACAAAGATCGATCTCTCATATCCAAGAACGATTTCGAAATGTGGCAAAGCAATAGGTGAAAGGAGTGAGCGTGAAGCAACCGGTCTCTAAGGCGCAACAGGTGTTAATGTCATCCTCGCCACCCTATATACCTTTTACTACAATACACGCCCTTCATTTGAAATTCCTGATTGAAAAGAACTCTTTTGTGTGGCGTATGATTTATTGATTGTAATGAAATCAAATGTTGCAAAGATAAAATTGATAATATTGTGCTCGAAATATTCTTGAACAAAAAAAGAATAAATATATCAGATAAATATAGAAATAAATGCAACAGATAAATTGATATAAGATGAAAATTTTATGTAATAAAAGAAATACGACTGAAACCTTTTCAAAAGGATATAACAATTTTTTTTTTTTTAATATAAATTGCATAAATTTTACAATTATGATTGAAGTGCGCGTAAAATTGAAAGTGATAATGCTTATAAATAAAATTTTATTTTCATAGATTAAAAGACTCATAAAAATAGCTACTTCACATTTCTATCGCCTCTTCTATATTTCCTTAAAATAATTGTCCAAGTAAATTAAAATCGTACGATACGTGCGCGAATTTTACAAGCTATTTAATTGATCACGTTCAACCACATCTTTGCAAGCGCCGACATTCAATAAAAGGAAATCGCAATGCGTACATTGATCCATGATGACAGCACTTGCATAATGAGGTGTGCCGGGTTTAAAATTAGCACCTGCTTCTGACCCGAGTTCCGATCGTTTCATTCGCCGCGATAGCGATTTCGACTGTCATAAAAGATGTTTGCTCGACAAAAACGGATTTTTACGCTTCTTCACGTGGAAACGATCAATGAGATAAAAGTACTACGCATTTCCGGGATTTATGCGATAAGGCGACAAATACGTCAACGCAAAAAAAATTCTAATGGATGAACTAGCTAGAAAAAAACGTACAATAGATACTGTGTGATAAACAAATAGAAAAATTCAAGCCCGAACAACACTCAAAAAAATGATCTTGCAATAATAGCTAAAATTTTCTAGGTGTAAAAAATTAACTAAAACAAATAAATGATTAGCAACTGTTGTGATATTGCATATATAATTACTTAATCAGTTTAGATGACAGAAACAGAATATATATCTGTATTGTTTGTGAACTTTAAAAAGAAAGTTTCTCTAAAGCGCCTATCTATATAAGATCAATCACGTGTTAGATCATGCAATGAATAACATTTAGCAATGGTACCTAAATTTTTCAGAAGCTATTGCTAGAACATTACTGCTATAAATTCTATATGTGACAAACAATGTTTTCACAGATACGAAAAATAGCGATACATTCTTGTTGCGATATCTAGAAATCTAACTACATCAGCGAAATATTTTTTTGAGTGAATACTTCTGCACATTACGTTCTTCAAACTCATTCTTTGTACTTCTACAAAGTCATCGTTAGGCAATAGTCCAATATTGTTATGTAAACGAGTGAATTTAAATTTTGCCGTTTGCATAATAAATTATTATTTATCGAATATCTAACCGCTTTCTATTCATAACATAATTCAAATCAAAATACGCTATTATAATTCAACGGAAACTAAAGAAGTGCGAAGTATTATAAGTATTCTACGAAACATTTGCTTTCCACGACAGACATCGGAATCATGCAACAAAATAAACGTAAATATATGAGCAATGGAGTTCGCTGAACGAAAATCTATTTAAATGAATCGATTTCTTAATATTAAATAATGAAAAAAACAATGACCAGTTTTTAATTTTCGGCGAAATTATCAATTATATTGCAATAAAAATATATTCCGTATCATTTTAAGACTCTAGATCTGCTCTTTCAATTTTATATTCTATTTAAATATAAATAATTACAAATAGTTAAGTTTCCTCTCTAAAACTTAAAAGGCAAAAAACAAAATTAGTTAAGCAACAGTTTATTTTCGTCCGTATTAAAACTTATCAGTAATTTTATATTTGAGGTTCAATTTCTCGTTAACAAATCGCAGCCTAATTATCTATATTATAAAATCCGACTTGTGTTGAGGCGAATCAGGCAGAAAGCAATATTTAATTTTATATGAAATAAAAATGAATTTTAAAAATTTTATCTCCCAAAAAAAAACTTGATCTTAGAGGGGTTAAGTGTCAACTCTAAGCTCCTTATCAAAGAAGACGTTCGCGTAACCGATTTCCATTTTTTTCACGACGTAATCTGTATAGAAATCTACAGGCCGGCGCCACCTTTGAAAATGCAGAATATAAATCTGTAAAATCGCGCGAGCTTCTAGCGCCGGCTTTAATACTCGTGCCACGTGTCGATACTTAAGCACCTACGCGCGTGCAAATGCGTATGAAGCCGCATATATAATATAGCTAGTAAACCTGAACCTGAGCATGAACATACTCTAACAAAGAAACAACGAGTGCACACTTAAAACAAGTGCAAAATAAATACGAAACCGTCCAAACACAATTTATATAATAATGTTAAAAATTCAAGGGAATGGTAATCGTGTCGAAATCGTCGACAGCTTTTCAAAATCGATTTAAATACGTAATACCACGTTATGTCAACGCTATATCGAATATTTCTCTTTTAGGCATTTTAAATGGAGCTCTCTATATTTATACTTTTGGATTTCAAAGAATTTTTATAAGAGAATATTCCTGTCTTTTTCCGTCTTGTTTTTGCAAAACGTGCCTGTTTTGTATTACAAATTATCGCTATCACAGTTCAGTGACCGTCATCTGCTGGTATTAATAGTCATTTACATAATTTAATTATTTAATATAATAAATAAATTTAATTGCTCATAATAAAATTCACACACAAAATAAATGTAGAACTTATGTTTGTAGATATATTTAAAAATTTTTTTAGTTATTAGAAAAATGTGCGATAAAAAATTAATTAGATTTATTTCAAATTATAGAGAGCAATATAATAAATACGGAGAAACAGAAAATGAAAAAACAACACAAGTTTCATATTTAAAAAGGCGATGATGATATGAATCGGATAATCAATAATTAAGAATTTAGCTTTAAATGCAAATGCCAAAATTTATTTTAAAGTTATTTTCAAATCGTCTCAATTCGATAGATTTTTAATTTGAATTAGCAATAAAAAGATGTGTGAATAATATTAATAATTAAATATAGCATCCTTGATATTTGTCTCTAAAGCATCAAGGATCAAACTGATCGAAAGTAATCGGTTGTCCGAGCGAAAGTATCTACTTTGGCGCATAGCGAATGCAAAAGCGCAGTTTCGCGAATGGAGAAAGGTATCTCTTCCAAGTAACGTACGAAAACGCAACGGTGACGACAGGTCATATAGCAGACATAAAACGCGACTTACGATTGCACGATTCAGCATGGGAAACCGATGCACATTCGCGATATAACAAACAAGTCGTTGACGCGCAAACGTCACGGTCAATGACGAATAAAGATGTTAAAAAAAAGAAGAAAAAATTGCAAGTAATGGATTCAGTTATATTATCGATGCTGCGGACAATCAATTCTAAGAAAATAAAAGTGCGAATAAAAAGAGCAACTTCGTATAAAAATTATTTTTTTCATAAATTTTCGCAGTAGAAATTTGCAAAATTTGCATTTACCAAAATTATGCTAATTTCGATTAATTAAAATAGAACGCAAATTAATTATAAATCTAACTAACGAATCTCTCAATACAGCAGATACACTTTGTTGTAAATTATCGAGGTTAATTTGCATTATTTTTCTACAGTTAGTAGAAAACTAGTCATACATGTTTCACACGTATGTCAAAATAAGAAACGTCAGTGTTATCGCTACTGTCACGGCGGACGCGTGCGCGTGTTCACACGTGTTAAAAATATCCGTTTAATGCGGGAAATTCGAGGACCGGCAAGGTCGGAGCGCAAGGTGCGCGCAGAGGAGAAAAAAGGAGAACGATGCGCGGAATGTGTGCATGCATACGTGCGTGCGTGCGTGCGTAAATGCACGCGTGATACGCGGAAAAATAGAGCCGCATGATACCAACCTGTCGCTCTTGTCGATTACCGCGAGTGGCGCGAGTTCCTGGAGCGGTGGTTCCGCGGAGATACCCTGAGCACGACCTCGAGTCCGCGGCTTCGTCGGCGTAAGCGGCGGCGCCGCACTGAATGGCAACACGCTCAGAAACTTGTCGAGGTGGCTGCGCAACTCCTGAATCTCGGCATCGCGACAGCAAAGTACCGACTCCAGTTCGGTGATCCGTTCATCCTTGACACGCAGCAGCTCCTGGAGTTCTCTTAGGGTGCCCATCGCGGCAATTGCGGCACCTCCCCCGACACCGACGTGCGGCACTTGCGTGACTTGCGTGGTGGTCGCGGTGCTGTCGACGATGGTTACGACGTCCGCGGCGCCGTGCGTCGGCGGCAGCTGCGACGACGGGACGGCGGAGGCGTCCTCCTCGTCGGCGTGCGGCGGCTCCGTCGACGAGAAGCACAGCGAGTCAAAGCACACACGCATAGACACGCAGGCGTCGCCGATAGGCACTCTGTATTTCGTTCGTTCGTCCATTCAACTTGTTGTGGTACGCGAGAAAGATGGACCCATACGCGGAGCGACGCAATCGAGACCCGACGAGGACGTCGTCGGCCGTTACTATCGCGCAAATTCGCGTAATCCGCTCCCGAAGAGCGGAGGACCGCGACGTCCTCCACCGCCTCCGTAATGTCCCGCGCTTGTCAGCCGAGCGAGAGTGGTACGGAGTGGGAGGAAATGTGAAAGAAAGAGACGAAACTGTACGCGCGCCGCACCGGTCGTCAACGAGCTCACCGCGACAGAGCCTGATATCACGGTAGGCTACGATAGAACGACTAATTCTTCGGAGAGTTCGGAGTCGACACCGACTCGCCGTGCACCGATCACCACCATCAAAGTGTTTGTGTAACATTGAGCTCACTTCATTGCGCTCAATTGATAAAATCGTGCACTGCTTAATCGATTGTTGATAAAGTAGAAAAGTGATGGTAAAGAATACTTTATCACATGAAAATTCAATATTTTTTCTTTGTTTAGCATCGTTATTTGCTATTTTAAAGTTGAAATTATATTATATTATGTTAAAAAACATCGCAGGTATTAAAAATTTACCATATTTTATAATAAGACACACGAATAAATAGTAACCAAATTTATTACTTTTACATAGATACATCATCATATAAATATCAATGCAAAAAAGCACTTATATAGTATCTATGAATATTTATATACAACGAAAAATATATACAGTCCATAAATAAAAACCATTATATATTAATTGTGCTAAGATTTGTCATTGCGGAAGAAGGGGCTCGCTTCCTGTCCGTAACACAGTTTTTGTGACATTTGTAAGCTCGTCCATGTTACACTTCTGTTGCACTTCTTCCGATTGCAGAAACGGCTCGTTCAAGCAGACGCTATTCAAGCTGACGGCACTGTTCGAGAAAGTAGTACCAAGATTTGGATTTTTTATATCGACACTGTTAACACAATCTTCTGATGCAGGCTCTGAGCCTGCATTATCTTTATCACCCTGCGTGTGCGACGATATTATATCGCACGCCTTGCCAAGAATAATTATACTATTTAATACGCGAAAAGCTACTAGTATAAGATAAGCTAACAGCAAAAGTATGAGATTAGCTGGTCTCGCGGATGGCGTCAAAGTTGTACATAGAACACGAGCCATGGCAACCCCCAGTGGAAGAGGTATGAAGTTCATTCGTCGTGCAACCAGGTCTGAAGGATCCGAGAATGACGTTTCCCGACGTGTCTGCGCCATGTCATAAGCCAGACTCACAGTGTAATCTCTATAGACGGTTGAAGATAAGTCGTTGAAACGTGTGATGAATGCATGTTTTACCTTTACAGAAAAAAAAAACAGTATTATGCAGACATGCATAATCAAATATTGCTTACAAATATCTTAAATATAGATAATGTCCCTAATTTAATTATTCAAAATTCTCACTCAAATGCTTACTTTATACACTGTATATTGTTACAAACCCAATCGATGAGAAGTTCGGCGCTCAGCAACATTGCACAATCAGGCAGCAGTATAGCAAGACGATCGCTATGCCATGCGTACTCTTTCATCGTTTGCAAACTCACTGCAAGGAGTAGCATAGTCAGATGGAATCTCTCTCTGGCGTCGGCACAAGATAATTGGAACAAGTTATTCTTGTCAAATTTCTTGAAGACAGAACTTTTCAGTTCTACGAACTAAAAGTATAAAATATATATGTATAATATTTTATATAAAAACAAATTTCATTGATTTTTACAGTGCACCTTACATTGTTAGACATCATAACTGTGAGAAGAGATTTGTTACTGCTGTTGATTGCTACATTTAACGTTGTGGCTTGGAGTAATACCAGTATACTATGTAATACTGTATAAGAATGCGGTTAAGGCATATATATATATATATATCTCATGGTGACCTAAACCTTGTCTCGATTAAATCGAATTGTTAATACTGTAGTTAAAGGATACATACATAAGCGAGGGCAAAAAAGAGATGTGGTAAAACACCTAAATGTTGCGTACGAGTGGATTTTGAACGCGAGCGCGGCTCGGTGGCAGTCCAAAGCAAAGAATCTATAGTATCTTGGCCGAAAGCGCTGAAAAGACGATCTGCTACTTCTAACATATTATAAAATATGTATAGCTTTATAACCGATTGGCTTTTAACTAAATGGTACATGATAGAAGTGTCCACTTTCCAGGTAGCTGCCCAACAAGTTAGTACTACGACTCCTTTCAATAAATCACATATTTCAGCTGGGCTTAAATACTTCTCTGTATTGTTTGCACGAACTCTTCCATTCCTATAAATAAAATAAGTCAAAATTTTTTGGCTACACATATATTTTGTATGAAATTAATATCTTGTATTAATTAGTACCTTAAGCAGTGTCGTAAAGGTCTCGTAATCACTGCCCATAAAGCCATTGCAAACCTTAATGGTAAAAATGTATACACAAAGAGAAAGGAATCTGCGCACTATGACAACAAAAATACGAGGGTAAGTTAAAAAGTAAAGGGATACTTTTAATTCATTTAGAAATAAAAAAAATTTATTTTTTTACTCTTTCTCTCATTTTATAATAACATAAAAAGGAATAAATTATTATAAAAATAATTTCAACTATTATTTTATTCTTACAATAGCATAATATTGTTATACCTGAAGAAAGCCATATGCCATAAATTTCTCCACTTCTCTCGGAATTTTTAGAAATGAATAAACTTTCTCTCTTTTGGCAGAAAATCTTTCCTCATCATGTTCCAGCTGATAACCCCTTGTTAATTCTGTTCTTAAAAATTTCGTCAATGATACCGCTGAAAAAATAGAATAGATTTAATATTTAACTCTAAAAGTACATATACAATATGTTTATGTAAGCTGTTTATAATAGTAAATTAAATAGGTATAAAAGAGCAAGAGAATATTCATCAAGTAGGTATAAATTGAACAATAATATAACACAACACATCTTAAAATCTACCAAACGCAAAACTTAAAAGTATCGAACTCGAAGTATTGTTCTAAATATAAACTCAAATCTAAAATAAGGCAAAATGTTGATATTGGCAAGTTTTATTTGTCGATGACTAATACTATTATATGTATATGCTATTGTATTTATATACTTCAATACATAATTTATTAGCACACACGCTACTATTTTTTTCTCATAATGTTACTGTTCTGTGAAGCAGCATAGCAACAATCATACATATATACCTTGCTTCTTTTGCGTCTTTTGGCCATCTAATAATTGTGATTTGTAATGTTTCAGATCTACATTTTCCACTCGTTTATCATGGGATGACACATGAGTTTTAGACTCAGCATCGTGAAATCTGATTGTCTTCTTGTCTGGCCAACTTTGCTCCATATTTTCATCGTCGTTGCGCGTGCTGTGCATCGCTGTATACTTCAATGAGCATAAATGCAACACTCAGTCATTCTACGAGTATTGTATCCTCACAACCATAACCATGTCCCGCGACCATCGACGTTCAAATTTGACTTATATACTGAACTTTGATGCCGCATGCATCGGACAAACTGTCATAACAACACTAGGATGAGAGAGAGACGACGTCAAGTGATAGCACCGATGACGATTTATCTACCAACAAATTGCTCGGGAAATATTTTTTGCCATGATGCACATCGTTATCTTGATTCATACACCTTTGCAAAATACGTAAAACCTTCGCATAAGCACACACATCCCCACCTCTTCATTTTTTTTTATTTCACATATAGCGTATACAATTCTGACGTATTGTAAATTATCAACTGTTGATAATTGGTATTTTTACCTTATCGAATGTTGCTACTAGAATTTGGACCATCAACTAACGAAAATTAAAATAAAACATATTTGAAAATAAAAGATACATAATCAGTAAATATATTATAAATATTTTATTACATATATATATTTTTTTATTTAAATAAACTCAGCTTGAGTATAATAAATTCAAGTGAAAAATATTGATCCTACATTGGCACGATAATGTTATATTTCCTTAGCTACGAATTGGATTTGAATCAACAACAGATGTACACAAGCCATTCAATGTAAGGAAACTATTCAATGTGATTGCTTGAAAAGTTCTTTTGCAAAAAATTGCATGATACAATATTTCACAATGACTTCCTCAATTGCAAACGATGCTATAACTTCATCTCTTGATGATGCATTTGATGTTACTAATATGGAGCAACCAGGAATGAGACTTACCAAAAAATTGTGGACAGACACAAAATCTTTGACGGTGCCAAATGTTCTGGATCCAGACGACTCCTTGATGAAGAAATTCCAAAATGCTTTACGAGAGCATCTCATCCGCGTTGACAATAAGTTAAACAGCGAGATATTAGATCTTGTAAATATTTTGCTCTTTCCCATATTTACAAAATTTATTATATATGAATAAAATGCAAATTATACTAATCGATTTTATTTCAATATTGTTTCAAACATTTCAGGAGGCTGAAATAAGATCTATAGAAAAGGAGCATGAAACAGAAAGCTTACAATTGTACTATGCTCAACAGGAAATTACACAGCAGCAAAAGGCAATTGAAAAATATCAAAATATGATTACAAATGTAATTTCATTACGTGAAGAAAAAGAAACACAAGTAAAGGATGCGAAAGATGTTCACAAGACTGCTCATGCAAAGTTGCTTGATGAAAAAAAGAAGGAAGAGAATCTTAAGCAAGAGTTGGAGCAACTTACAGATTTACAGGCACAATTCTCAGAGTGGGAAGCAAAGCTCAAAAGCAATTTGACTATTTCTAAGCAAGTGTCAAAGAAAGATGAGGCACTTCAACAAGATCTGATTGCTCAGAAGCAGCAGAAGGACTGTATAATATTTAAACTCATGGAAGAAGTATGGAAAATGAAGACTGAGATAGCAAACTTAGACGTACAAATACAGCTGAAAAATAAGGAGAAAATTGAAACAAATCAGATGATTGCCGATGTTAATGCTGATCTGGAAGCGTTGCATAAACAACACACAAATTTATGCCGTGCCTGGAATGGAGTTGTACTAAATATTACTAAGCGAAATAAAGTTTATGAGGAATTAAATACAGAGCGTGAGTACGTAATAGCTTTGTCATTTTTAGAAATATAAGTGAATACAACTTTCAGGAAGACAGTGATATAATATTACAATTAAATTATTGTGATATTAATATGAAGAGCATTGTTTTATTTGAAATTCTACTATTATTTATCAATGAGAAATTGAAATGTCATATCTTTTCAGAAAAATATGTGACTCTTTTAATACGTTACAAGCCGAAATAGACAAATTAAAGAAAGAAACGCACAAAGAAACAGAGAATAATGAGAACTTGACCTCATTACATATGCGAATAGAAAACAATACACAAATTACTACGACATTGATGGAAATAGAAAATGATAAGCTTAATAATTTGCAATCTGAGTTAGTAAAATTAGCAAAATTTAGTGAACAGGAGCAACATGAATATGATTTAATACAAAGTGTATGTATAACATTACATGTTTTTCTTTGTGAAAAATTGAGAATTATTAGATGATTAATAAATAAATTTAATATGAAATAAATATGTTACTTTTACATTTACATTATTATATAATACAATTTCTATATTTTAGAAATGGCAATATCTATTACATGAAGAAGAAAAAACTAATAAGGAGTTTGCAAAACTTCTGAATAAGCAGAACGAGTTAGAAAATACAATATATAGCAAGCTGGAAGAAAAAATTGCACAAGATAAAGCAGCGCGGTATTTGAACAAATTATTGTTAGATTCTAAAGAGGTAATACAAGAACAAGAATTGTTATTAGTAGAAACAGAAAATTTATGCGGCAAAAAGTTATTGGAGCTAGAACAATTAAATTCTAACATTCCTCATGAAAAAATAGAATTAGAAGAACTAATACAAAGAAATGTTGCAAGAGAAAAAGAGATAGATGAAACTGAAAAAGAAATTAAAAAGCACGATACAGCAATTGAAAGGAAACAAGTAAAAATCATTAACGTGAATAAAAGTATCGAAGAGGTAAATGATATTAGCTAAAAATCTATCACAATATAAAATTGATAATGATTTTATCTATACGTTGTTGTTCCTGTTTAGATATTATCGCATACTGGCGGTGAAGAAATTAATCCGCTTGACATGAAAATAATAACTTTGGAAAAAAATATAGAAGAGAGTCGACAAAATATTCAAAAATCACAGCAATTTTGGATTCGTCAGGAAGGACACATGATTACACTAAGCCAACAAAGAGACACGCAACTGCAAGAACTTAATCTGCTTAATAAAGAAATTATGATTATGGATCAAAAGAATTTGAAAATAGAGCATGCCTTGGAAATGTTGAAAAGGGAAGAGTCAAAAATGGAAAGAGCGTTAAATTTATTGCAACAGAAAATGGTGCAGATAAATACACAGTTAGTCGTACAGAAAGGACTGAAGGAAGAGCTTGAAGATAAAACTTCTATTACAAAAATTGAGGGAATGCAATCTCTGAAGGACGCGGAATTAAACTTAATAAAGCTGGAAAGTAATTTAAAGCAGCTGTATGAGGAAAAAGCATTTCTCAAGAACAATCTAGATGCAGCACAACACGAAAGTTTATCATGGGAGAAAAAGGTAAGTAGTATTATATCATAAAATAAATGACCGCGTATATGTGTGAGCAGAAATATTTCTCATCCGCTACAACATCTGATTACCCACTTCAATTATAATGTCGTGATCCATATTTAGTTTGTGCTTTTAGGTGCAGTTAATGCAAGAGACAATAAAGAAATTAAAAAACGAACGTAGTGATGGTGGCGATATCGCAGCAATGAAGAGTGAAATTCATAAAATGGAAATGCGTCTATCGCATTTACGCAGAGTGCAAGAGAAGTTGATCCACGACATGGAGTTTTGCGTCACACGAAGAGATATTATATTAGACAAAGTAATGAGCAAACTCAAGAAGGATCCGAAAGGACAACACAATCAGAAAGTTATATTCTCTAAACGTCAAGCTGATCAAAAACTGAAGATCAAGCAAATCGCAAAGGTAATGAGTTGCATTAAGTTTGATTAAAGCAAATATTTATTTCTCAATGTATTCTCAATAAACTATTTATTATAGAATACCAAAAAAACTGAAAATAGAATACTTGAACTGGAAAACGAAATACAAGACGCAGTAGACAAATATAACGAATCGCGAACGGAATTAAAAATGATGGAAGGCGATATTCCAAACATAGATCAAGAAATTATACAAAAGGAAGCTGTAAAATATCATGTATAGTATAAATTAATCTTTTAATTTTATGAAATTTAAAATTATTATTTGCCTACGATGACAATACTGTTGTGACTAAAACCATTTTCTGTTACACGCAGAATTTGCAAGCATTAGTTTTCAAACAACGGAAAACTAAAATGCTTCAAGACATCAAAAGTGGTCGATACAAGATGCTTTTCAAAAGTGAAGCTACGCTAAGTGAAGAATTCCAAAATGAACAGATTCTTCGCGACTATTTGAAACATGTAATGGAACGGACAAAACAAGACTTTCCTTCGTTGAAAAATAGTGTTCAAAAAATACTTTTGACATTAGAAATATCATAAAATCCCAATAAATATTAACAAAGAAATAAAATACAATATATTTAATAATAATATTTATAATGTTTTATAATAAATGCATACTATATACTGTATATTTGTTATTGTAAAGCATATATATGCAAACATGCATATATTATGCAGAATGCACACCTTTAATAAATGCCTCCATGGATAGAATGGGAGTGTCCGGCAAAATACCATGTCCCAAGTTAGCAATATATCGATTTTTATCAAAAGTTGACACCATTTTTCGTGCACGTTCAACAATTTCATCCTAAAGGTACGAGTATATGTAATATCTTTGGTAATAAGTATTTCTAAATATTATATTCACTATTAATTACTATTATTGCTAATCATATATGCTTTGCATTAAAATAATTTCACTCAAATTAAGAATTGAAATTTCTCTGTGAGAAAATATAGCATACCTGGGAAGAAAACATTGCGCAAGGATCCATATTACCTTGTAATGTAACATTAGGCCCAAGCTCTTTTCTGGCTTCTGTGGGATTTACAGTCCAATCAAGGCCTATAACCTCATAACTTTCATCTTTTGCAAGAATTTTTAAAGAATTCATGGTTGCACCTTTCGGGAAAGCAATCTAGAAATAGGTTCAATGTCTATATGTCTACCTGGCTTGTAAAGTAATTTATCAATTAAAAATACCTGCGATACTTTACCATAGGCACTTCTGGAATATTTTCTTCTTTTAATTGCTTTCGTACACGCTCACTTATTTGTTTGAGATATTTAAAGGAATAATTTAAAAACAATGCATCATCTAGATAGTCTCCATTGCTTTCAAATATTTGAAGTAACTTGAAAAAAAGTAACATGTCATCCCATTTTTATATATGTAATTATTTTGTACACTGTACATAATCTGCTAGAATTCCTATACTATGTAAAAAAAGTTTTTATACCTGTGCACCAGCTTTCACTTGCATTACTAAATAACCCACAACAACATCCGTAATCATCTGTAATAATTTGTGACAGTCTTCTGGATACTTGTACAACCAGGACCTCGCCTTTGCCATTGTAGAACTGCCTCCTCCTTGAATCATATAGCCCATCAAAGTCCACTAAAATAAATTGATTGATTATTTAATACATAGTATAGTAGAAATTTATAACATATTACAGATTCTTTTTAGGTAATATTAGAATACTTACAGGTGCTCCACTAAATCCTATTAAAGGCACTCTCCCATTTAATTTATGTCGAGTCAATGTTATAGCGTCTCCAACATATTTTAGAGCTTCTTCTACATTTGGTCGTACAAGTCTTGCAATATCATTAGGATTGGCTAAGGGCTGAGGCAAGACTGGACCCTAACAGATACTTTTTATTTATAGAGAATAAACGTAAATATTGATAAAATATTACTTAACTGTTGTTTTTATATATTACTGAGAGGAAATACTTACTACTCCTGCTACCATCTCAACTTTCAAGCCCATCGCCTGTGGGATCACTAGTATATCTGAGAATATTATGCTAGCATCCAAATCAAATCGTTCTATCGGCTGTAAAGTCACTTGGCATGCCAATTCTGGAGTTTGACAAACGGTGAAAAAGTCATGTTGTGCTCTGACTTGCTGAAATTCTGGAAGATATCTCCCAGCTTGTCTCATAACCCAAACAGGTATTCTATCGACTGGTTCTCCACGTGCCGCCTTGAGGATTCGATCATTTTTCAAAGGTGGAAAATTATGCTCGATCATCCTGACAATTCGCTGATCACTTTGCGTTTTTCTAGGATATGGTTCGTTCAGATCCTTTGTATCGCAATCTTCACCAAAAGTTTGTTACATTACACTTTACAGTATTAAACGTATCACAATTACAATATTACAAACAGAACTGTTTGTTACATTAGCATATTTTAATGATACAACAATTCTCTATTGATTTCTTTGTTATTTAATTTTGTTGTTCAAAATCAATCGTTATTGTACTAAGTTTATTTAAAACAATAATCATAATATTCGATAAATAATATGAATAAATTCAACAAGTACCAAATTTAAGATGACAAGCATTACCAATTGTGACGTAAACACTAGTTGAATAATTATTAATAATATTCATACATGTAAATTATGTAAGATTCACACTTTGCGTCCGTCATTCAACATATAATACTTGATGACCATAGGCTGATGACCAATAGAAAAATATGCCTCTTACTGCTTTATCCACAGATCTCTAGGACCAAATCTTGGCAAGGCTGACTAGAGGAATTCTAGGCATCAACAGAGTTTCGGCATCAACTGGCATGAGCGCCACCGTTGCTGTTGACTTTTTGACCCACCCTATGAGTTATGTTGGTTATGTCTCTTATTTCTAATCTTTGATCTTCTTGCAGTCTTCTTTGGTCTTCTTTTTGATTAAGTACATAATATTGTGTTCCATCTCGCATTTGTATATTTTCAGCAATAATTTAAAAACCGAGTGATTAAAATTTGTTCCTTGAGAAATATTTCATAAGTAGAAAGAACATTTTCTTATTTTTTAAATATTTATTATATATCATTAGTGTTATGAAAATATTATCAACTACAAAGTGTCATTGAAATTACCGATTGTCTTAAATCACAATATTTGAAGTAGGAAGTCATTTTCACCTTTTACCATTGCTCTGTGCGAGGATAACAGCCGTTTGCAGATACGTACTTTTCCAATTTTCTTTTTGTAAACTTTGTTGGAACTTTATTAATAATTATGCATAAACGATTAAAAGCTATACACAAATATTATAATAATTTGGAATATAATAGAATCAGCAAAGAAGTAAGTATGAATAAGTATAATATACAATATAAATATATTGTTAATAAATTATTAATTTCATGTTAAAAGTAAAGACTATATTTTTGATGAAATGTGTAACATTAATTTTTATGTATAATACTGTTAGGAAGCACTAAGAAATATATCCATCTTAACTAAGAAGGTGCAATTAAAAAATATTGATTGGTTAAATAGGTAAGCGTACTATTTTAAGATACAAGTAATATCTCATAGAAATGTAAAAGTTACTTCTATAAATGTCATTTTTAATATTTGTTTATAGATTCTCCTTTACAGCTACTCTAACGAAAGAAAATTTGTCCATTTTTCAATCTGCCTCTGAGCATGTAGATATAGTTACTGATATTATTCAAGTATTAAATGAACTTGATTTTCAAATAACAACATGTAAATAAGATATTACTTTACAATTACAGTTGCAAAAATATATCAATCTTAAGTTATATTTTACCTATAAATAACAATAGTAAATACAGAAATACAGTGCCATAAAATGTCAAATACTTTCGATTAAGTATTTTTCGATTAAATACATTATGTTAGGTCATTTGTGCATAATGAATGTTGGTTAAAAAACTCGGAATCATTCAAATAGCTGATTAGTTGAATTAACAAGCTTAAAAAGTACAATCCAAAAGAAAAATTCTAAATCAGAAGTATAAGGCATTATTGAGATTTAGTATATACATTAGATTACTTATATATAAAGTTTTTTAATTATTATTTGTTTCTTTTCAATAAAGTAGAAAGAAATAATTTGACGGACGAAGTGCTCTTTCAATGTCATTTATTCCCAGCAATGATTTTCATATATACTACATGGAAAGAATCTGAAGTGCAGTTATTTTTTGAAGATAGCATCCTGTAAATATTTAGTAAAAAATGTGTAATATTGTCATATACAGGGTGTCCCATTTTAAAAAGCTCACGTGAATAACTTTTCAAAGAGACATTTTCAAGAAAAATGATTTATACTAAAGTTGTAGGAGTCATTGGGGGCCATAAGTTGGTGACTTTGAGTTTGGCCTTGGAGTCGATTTTGAAGGTTATTTGGGGGTCAACTTGAGTTTTTCAAATGGAACACCCTATTTTTGATTCTAAAATCTAATAGCTGGTGTCAAGAGCTTTTCAAAACACTATAATGAAGTTATTTTTTATTAAGTACTTTTCGAGTTATGAGGCTTGAAAGTTACAGCATTTTGACATAAAATACAATTGGTATAAAGAAACATTGGTTTAAAAAAAAAGTATGCAGTTGCATGTTACAAATTACATATTTTTTCTTGAAAGCAACTATGTGTTTTTTTATACCAATTTATTCGTCTCATTATTTTATGCATAAAAGTATTAAGGTAAGATTCCCGAAAATTGAATGTTTTACAAGATATTTTGTATTTTATGTCAAAATGCTGTAACTTTCAAGCCTCATA